GGACAGAAGAGATGTGAGACTCAATAAACCGGACTTGGTGATGGACTGGTTGTGAGGGCTTGATGAAAGGGAGAGTTTCCAAGGCTCTCGCTTGGGTGGTTGGTAAGGAACTTAGGGGTTGTAGTATTTTTAGCATGTGATGGGAGTAAGGTGGGAAGGGGAGGTCATGAGTTCAACTTGAGGTGTCTAGGACACCTTCAGAGGGCAAGGAACCTGGTGGCAGCTGGATATGAGGGTTGGGAACTCAGAAAAGTCTGGGCAAGAGAGACCTGGGCATCACAGCTCAAAGCCAAAGGAGTAGTGAGATATTGATGAAGAGGAGGAGACGCAGAGGACAAAGCCTGGAGAACCAGCATTTAAGGAACAGGGAGAGGAAGAGGGGCAAGCCTGGGAAGGAGACCAAAAAGAGCATCAGAGTAGTAGAAAAGAAAAAAAAACAGAACAGGGGGAAGGAGCGGTCAACAGGGCCAAATGCAGCAGAAAAATCAAGTCACACAAGGACTGAAACTGCCCATTGGGTTTTCTTGCAACATGGTGGCCTAGGGACTCAGGCTAACCTTCTTGCTGAAAACAACTAAAAATATTAGACAGAATATATATTTAAAAAGTTTATCTATGAACTGGAAAACACAAGAAATATTCAGGCTAATAATCTATACTAATAGAGGAATATGCAAATTGTTCAGGACACCATCACAGTAACAGTAATGACTAAACAGCAGGCTGTGTGGGGCGACCAGGCCGGCGAGGGGGGGGCAGTGAGGGGCGACCAGGCTGGCAGGTGATGGCAGTTGGGGGCACACAGAATGGCAGGGGGGCAGTTGGGGGCAACCGTGCCAACAGGGGGGGCAGGTAGGGGCAATCAGGCAGGCATGCAGGTGAGCAGTTAGGAGCCAGCCATCCTGGATTGTGAGAGGGATGTCCTGGAGATCAGACCTAAGCCAGCAGTCGGATGTCCCCCCGAGGGGTCCTGGATTGGAGAGGGTGCAGGCTGGGCTGAGGGGACCCCCCCTCCTATGCAGGAATTTCGTGCACCGGGCCTCTAGTAATAGTAAGTGAAAGTAGGAAGCTTAGTAGTTGGCTTTCACCTGGAGAGCATGTTTTTTTTCTTAGATACAAAATATTTAATCTACCTTCCCTGTACATTACTGATGTGCTAATTAATATGCAATATGACAATACAGTGAGGGCATGTTTCTTACCTGGTGAACCTGAGCTTTGGCTTGTGAGGGCTCCTGGGCTTATGGCATCTACCCAGAAACTTCTCTATAGGGCCGGGGCCCCAAAGGCCATGCCCACACTTAAGGATGAAATAGAAATAAATTGGCCACTCCTCTACCTAACCTCTCTCCCTCAAACCTGGGGACTACAGAGAAAATTGCCTTTATTTCACCTTGGTGCTAAGTGGAAGCGGGGAAACCTTCCCTGAGAATGCTTAACTATAAGCACTCCTTTTTTGGTTTTGCAGACCAGATTCACACTATTTTGGAAGGCTGAAAAACTTCAAACTGAGAAGTTAATTTGTTGTAGATACAGCTTTAGAATGCTCTCTCCTGAATCTGAGGACGAGTCCCAGGGTTGTCACAGGTTCTGGCTCCTATATATCCTACTCTTGTCCCTTAGAAGAACCCGTGTCATTCTCCACTTGGCTCTAAGTCAGTGGTTCTCAACCTTCCTAATGCCGTGACCCTTTAATACAGTTTCTCATGTTGTGGTGACCCCCCAATTCAATTGTTACAAATTGAACATAATTAAAGCATAGTGATTAATCACAAAAACAATATGTAATTCTATATGTGTTTTCTGATGGTCTTAGGCGACTCCTGTGAAAGGGTTGTTTGATCCCCAAAGGGGTTGTGACCCACAGGTTGAGAACTGCTGCTCTAAGTTATCCTGGAATGGTATCCACATCTTAGATGTCCCTTTTGGTCTGGCACCCCAAAGTATCTCCAACATCCCCAGGCCTATTTTCTTTTTTTAAATATATTTTATTCATTTTCCACAGAGAGGAAGGGAGAGGGATAAAGAGTCAGAAACATCAATGACAGAGAAACATCAATCAGCTGCCTCCTGCACACCCCCCACTAGGGATGTGCCCGCAACCAAGGCACATGCCCTTGACTGGAATCGAACCTGGGACACTTGAGTCCACAGGCTGACACTCTATCCACTGAGCCAAACCGGTCAGGGTCCAGGCCTATTTTCAATTGTCCTAGGTGGTGTTTGTGAAACATGTTCAGGAGCTGTTGTTAATGAGATTGGCATTTTTCTCTCCAGGGGAGCCCCAGGGATGAGGAGAGTCCTGGATTGGAAGCAGGAAGAAAACTAACATTCACCTAATTGTCGCCTTTAGGTTCAGCCCTATTCATGTACCATCTCAGTTTTTCCTTCACTAGAGGAATTACCGTTCTCATTTTTATTTTTACCAGAGAGAGAGAGAGAGAGAGAGAGAGAGAGATATTTGTTGTTCCACTTATTTATGCATTCATTGGTTGATTCCTGACCAAGGATTGAATTCATAACCTTGGTGTATCGGGATGACACTCTATCAGCGGTTCTCAACCTGTGGGTCGCGACCCCTTTGGCGGTCGAACAACCCTTTCACAGGGGTTGCCTAAGACCATCCTGTATATCAGATATTTACATTACGATTCATAACAGTAGCAACATTACAGTTATGAAGTAGCAGCGAAAATAATTTTATGGTTGGGTCACAACATGAGGAACTCTATTTAAAGGGCCAGAAGGTTGAGAACCACTAACTAATTAAGCTACTCAGCCAGGGCTTGTTGTCAATCTTTTAAAGTGAGTTTCAGAAGAAGTCAAGGTCTAGGGCTAGAAAGAGGCAAAGACGGGTTTTGAACATAGGCCCAAGTCCTGTAACCCTCCCCCTCAGTCTCCTTCTGGCACAGTGAAATCTCCAGTCCGCATCAGAGCCATGGCATTTCACAGCCCTAGGCACAGACCTGGAATCAGTTACTTTATTTTGGCCTTCCTGTTTCCTTCTTCCAAATCTCCCCTACTTCTACTCTTTCCTCCTTCAATTTATCCTACATACTACAGGCAGACTTTTCTAAAATGCAAATCCAGTCATCAACGCCCAGTTGAAATCCCATGACTGTTTCATATTGCATTTAGGATAAAGTCTAAACTCATTCAAATGCCTACTGCTCCCAACTTGTCTTTCCAACCTCACCTGTTACTCATCCCTCCCTCTTCCTCACCTCACCTATATCCCCTTAGACCGGTGGTTCTCAACCTTCCTAATGCTGCGACCCTTTAATACAGTTCCTCATGTTGTGGTGACCCCCAATTTCATTGTCACAAATTGAACATAATTAAAGCACGGTGATTAATCACAAAAACAAGAGGTAATTATATATGTGTTTTCTGATGGTCTTAGGCGACCCCTGTGAAAGGGTCGTTCGACCTCCAAAGAGGTTGTGACCCACAGGTTGAGAACCCATGCCTTAGCCTGAACACAAATTACTAACTGTACTTTAAACATTTTCTTGATAAAGATTTGTTGTGACTGGATTCCACCTGGACTTTGCTAACCCACTAATTGAGCACCCCCTCCCCCATTCAAGTTTCTCCTCCTCAGGGAAGCCTTCCTCTGCCTTCTCAGGCCTAGGTGGCTATTGCCAATGCTGTTTTCCTCCATTGAACACAGGTATAGAGGTCCTCTCCACTAGCCCCTTCCGGGGTAACTGGCAAGAGTTAATAAAGGATACGTGATGCCCTGGCTGGTGTGGCTCAGTTGGTTGGCTGTCCTGCAGTGCACCAAGAAGTTGCTGGTTTGATTTCCGGCCAGGGCACATGCCAGGGTTGCTGGCTCTATCCCCGATAGGGGGCGTGCAGGAAGCCGCCTATCAATGTTTCACTCTCACAACGATATTTCTTCTCTCTCCCTCTCTCCTCCTCTCTATAAAATCAATTAAAATTTTATTTTAAGGAGAAAGGACAAGTGGTAAAGAGAAGGGACTGCTGGGGTTTGCCCCTGAGCATATCTATTGGTGATCTCTGATACCCTGAGTGTCCAGAGCCAAGATGAGCTCCACTTTCCCCAACCTGTTTCCTCATCTGAAAATGGTGCATAAAATTCCCCGCCTTGTAGTTGTTGAGAACTGATGCGTAAGGTATGCAAAGTACTGTTCGTAGCACTTAGGTGTGAACTGGTCTTATTCTAATTACACGTAAATAGAAGTTGCTTCCAAGAACCTTATGAAATTCTCCGAGCACTGTCCATGGTATGTGGTTCCCTGGTTGCTCACTGGGTGGTTCCGAGAGCCGTCCTTCTCCTTCCTGAGGCGCACCGAGCCTCCTTTCTTCTCCTAGTACTGACGCTTCCTTCCACTCGGCCCGGTTCCTGGGCCTCCGGGTGCACCCGCAGCGGAGCACCAGAGCGACCGATCCTCCACACGGCTCCCCGCCTCGCCCCCAACACACACACCTTTTCCTCCGACCTGGGCTCCCACCTCCAGCCATCCGCCCCTTGAGTCACACACTCCTAAGGACCGCAGGTAAGAAGCGGTGTACAGTGAAGCTGTGTTATGTGATCTGAGACCTGACGTTAAACTAGGACAAAGGTGAAATGGAAACCAGGATGTCTGACT